ACAAGTAAGAAGGATCTAGTCGAGACTGCTCGACTAGGAGATACCCTGAACCCTCCCAACCAATATTCTTATCATTCTGCACTTCTTTGTTTGTATTCAACATATGTATATACACAGTAAATTAAGTCTCCAAGTCTAAAAGTGTTCAAATGAGGCTAAAGAAAAGCTAAATCAATTTTTCGATTATTCTCGATAAAAAATTATCGGATGATTTATCGAAAAAAAAAACACACACACACACTCGTACTGCGTATGGTATACACGAGTATGCATGCCGAATTTCAGCTCTCAAGCTTTTGTATCTTCTGAGATTGACGGACGGACCGACGGCAGACGTAAAATATATACTTTATGGGGTATGCGATGATTCCTTCTGCCGGTTACATACTTTTTCACACAAACAATTATACTCTGATTTCCTATTTTCAATGCGTTCAGGGTATAAAAATGAGAGGGTGGAAAGAGGTGTAAATTTTAACAATAATCTATCTTCTATAAAAAATTACATGTTCTGAGTTCGACGTTTTTAAACATACGAACAAAATAGAAATGCAAAAAACTAAATTCTATCAATTACATATAATTTAAATTATAATTTAATGTATTAATTAGCTCTTATATCTTTTAAGATCTGTGCGTTCACTAAAACATTTTAGTCAAATTATCCAACTCAATGGGTTCAGGGTATAATATTATTATTATTATTATTAAGAATATAAAAACTTAGGCCAACGATATACGCTTTTCTCAGTAATACCTAATAGTAAACGTATTTGATCATACCTCACGTTGCAGCTTACGTCTTTCTACTTTAAGCTCAGCCTCAGATTTTTCGGCAGCTTCAGCCGTACTTTTGTAACGTATAACTTGAGTCTCTGAGCGCGCTAGGTTTGCCTGCAGACTGGCGATTTCCTGTTCAGCTTTCTGTAGTTTATATTTATAGTCGGATATGATTTTATTTGATTCTCCTGTATGAAATATGTTATGAGATTTTTTTTTGTTTTTTTGTTTTGTTTTTCAACTTACGCTGAGCATCATAGTCACCATCGTACCCTAAAGATCCACTTAATAGACTTCCTCGAACAGGTCTTCCTTCATTTTTAAAAGCGTCCAGCTGTTCACGGAGCTTTTGCATTTCATTAAGAAGTCGTTGTTTTTCATCAGCAAACTTTTTGATTCGTACGTCTGAAAATATATATTTTGTCGTACATTGCAACTCTTAATGAGCAATACTTACCAAGAGAGCCTTGCACAGTTGCTAATACATTGGCATTTTCCACGGTGACTAGAGCACGCTTCGCATCGCTGCCATCACTATTTTCAATAGCAACAATAACAAGACCGTGTTCTTCTATAAGAGTATCACGCTCACTAAGTTGGCCTTGCACCAGGTTTAATTCTAGGGTTGTACGATCTAAGCTGCGCTTAAGGGCACTACAATCGCGAAGTTTGTTTTTAAATTCACGTTGCAATTGGGCAAGGGATTCTTGCATTGCTTCACTTTTATCTTTAAGTAGTTTAACCTCATAGGTCTGTGATGAACGGTCGTTGTCAAGTTGAGCATTCGTTATCATAGCTTTTCGAAAACGTTCCTCAACTTCCTGAAAAGTAATAAAAATAAGACAATTAAGAAAGTAGTCGTGACTGCTCGACTAGGAGATACCCTGAACCCTCCAAGGTGATATTCTAATCATTCTGCACATCTTTCATACGCACATACATACACATGCATCCACACGCACGCATAAGCCCGTGCTCTGCTATCTTCGCTTGGGCTGCGCTGCAGTGAGGGCAATATTATGAGTCTTTATTTATTGAATAATTTCTTTTAACGTTTAATGTTTAAGTATGTGTATATTCCAAAGAAAAAGTGTCTAGTACTGGATATACAGCTGCGAAAAAAAAAATTGTACCAATTGCATATGCAAAGTTTACGATACATTTATCAAACTATTAATCTACTTTTTGCTACAATTTAAGCAGTAAACAATTGATTATTGCAAAGTATTTACAAAAATATTTATCGTTTTTATATATTTCAAAAAATTCTCAAAGTGGAAATATTTTCCCCATTTAGTATTCATTTGTGGTTATGACGATACATCCAACATTGTGAGCGCATTTATTCCATTCCCTCTGGCATCTCGGAAATCCCTATTACCATGAATGCTCGAAACTAGGAAGGATAGACTACGTTTAATATGCTGTGGATGCTATGGGTGCTAAAGAAGTTAAGGCAGTTAAAAGAGGATATAATTTTTTTTTTCTTCTATTTTCTTAAGTGTGATTTATAAAAAAATTTTCCAGTTTTTGTTTTGATTGTCACATTGCGATTTATAAAATATATTATTTCATTGAATTACTAATTGTATTGA